CCCCCAGCCCAATGGGAGGGGGCTGCCCCCCGCTGTTGACCCCTCATCCCGCCAGGAGCACTCGTAACCGACATTGAGTATTCGGTAGCAGCTCAAGTCCCTGGGCCCAGAGGCCAAGCCTGGAAGAGATTGTGTAGGTTTGGGGACAGATCAAATTGCGGTGATGTCTCTGCCCCCACATCCCTGGGATCAATCTTTGTGGCACTTAGGTCTTCCCGTTTCATCTCAACTTAAACCTACCATGGCTCCCACCACCCTCCCTAGGCTCTCTGTGTTCAATCCCTTTCAATCCCACCAACCTCCATATGGGTCCTCAAGCACACCAAGCTCATGGCCACCATAGGGTCTTAGCACCTGCTGTGTCCTCTGTCTGGAATTCTCTGCCACCAGATCTTGACATTCTAGTTTCTTCTTTGGTGTCACCTCCTCGGCCACCAGCCAACAGAAAGCACCCCTCTCCCCTCCCCATGTGACCACCGCCTCACCCTTCTCTGCTTTTTCATAGGACACCATCCACCATCTGTAAGTGTAAGCCTGTATTTCCCTATTGTCTGTCTGCTCCACGAGTCTGTGGCTCTGGGAGGACAATTTTGCTGACCGCTGACATTCTCTGTATCTAGAAATTTGTGTCATGGGACCAGCAGGTGGTGTAGTGGTGAAGGCACCCAAACACCCACGTGGCAGACAGTAGTTCAAGTCCTGGACCTGGTGGCTTGCTTTCTCACTTTCCCCTTCTCTCTCTCTCTGGTCAAAATAAAAAATAATAATAGGGACAGCAGATGGCATAGTGGTTATGCTGCTGGACTGTCACAACTGCCAACCACGGTTCAAGGCCCAGACCTGGTGGCTTCATAATCACGTTGAGCGTGTGTATGTGCATGCCCAAGATCCCAAGAGGAGAATAGGGGAGATCTTTGTGACCCTACAAAGGAGACAATGAGGGGTGACTCTCCCAGGACACCTCGAACCTGATGACAAGGTGGGGTCTGGGCTCCCAAGACCACAAGTGAGGCTGGGTCTTCAGCTGGGTGGAGGGAGACTGAGGGAAGGGATGCTGTGGGTGGGGTCAGACTGAGCTCACTGTGACCCTGTACCTGTGGAGAGAAGATGCCCCAGGCCTGAGTCTGCTCTTGGATATGGGCGGTCCTGAAAGCAGCACTGATCGGCTCTGCAGGCAGCTGTAAAGGAGACAGGAAGATAATAGTATCCTGGACTTGTCCTGTGGGGCTCAGCAGGGGATCTGCACCCATGTGACCACCACCTGACCATCCACCTTCCTATCCATGTACTCATCCACCTGCCACCCATCCACCCATCTGTCCACCCATCCACCCATCCACCCACCATCCATCCACCCACCCTCAATCCACCTATCCATCTACTCATCTGTCCACTCAGGCCCCCCCACCCACCCATCCACCCACCATCCATCCACCCACCCTCAATCCACCTATCCATCTACTCATCTGTCCACCCATCCACCCACCATCCATCCATTCATCTATCCACCCATCTGTCCACCCATCCAGCCACCATCCATCCATCCACCATCCATCTGTTCATCCATCCACCCATCTGTCCACCCATCCACCCATCTGTCCATCCACCCATCCATCCATCCACCCATTTATCCATCCATTCACCATCCATCCACCCACCCGCCATCCATCCACCCATCCATCCACCCACCTGCCACCTGTCCACCCACCCACCCATCCACCCACCATCCACTCATCCACCCATCTGTCCGCCATCCACCCATCATCCATCCACCCATCTGTCTGCTACCCACCCACCCACCCACCGGCCATCCATCCACCCATCCATCCACCCATCCTCCCAATCATCCATCCCCCATCCATCCATCCACCCACTCATCCATCAATCCATCCCTCCATGCATGGATACATCCATCCACCCACCCATCCAAGTATCTGTCTACGCACCTACGTAACTATCCATCTAGCCATCTCTCTATATTTTTTAAATTTTATTTATTCATTCACTTAGTTTTAATTTGACAGAGAGATACAGAGAGAAAGAGAGAGAGAGAGAGAGAGGAAGTGAGAAAGCAAGCCACCAGGTCCGGGACTAGAACCATGGTCAGCCATGTGGGAGTGTCCAGCGCCTTAACCACCATGCCACCTGCTGGTCCCAGCGATCTATATTTTCACTCCTCATCCATTTATGTATCTATAGTCCATTCACTATCAATCTATCCACCTGCCATCCCTCCACTCATCCGTCCATCAATCCATTCACCCATGCATTAAAGAATTTCTCTCTTCATTCATTTATCTTAATTTTTTGACAAGAGAAAGAGAGAGGAAGTGAGAAAGCAAGCTGCCAGACCCGGGACTCAAACCACAGTCGGCCATATGGGAATCCAGCCCCTCCACAATCACACCACCTGCTGGCCCCAATAAATGTATCTTTAAAAATTATTTTAAATGAAATGAAGTTAACTAATTCATTTAAATTTGACCAGAGTGAAACAGAGCCAGAGAGAAAGGGAAAGTGAGAAACCAGGTCATTAGGTTTGGGACTCGAACTGTGGTCGGATTCAGTGTGGATTCCAGTGCCCCCAACCACCATACCGCCTGCCAGCTCCCAAAATAAATATTTAAAAAAAAAAATAAAGTATAAGTTTATTTTGGTGCCAAAAAACAAAAATCAAAATCTATGCATAGTTTTGTTCATAATATGCATTGTCCATGAACTTAAATAAAGACCCACTTGTAGGGACCAGCAGTTAGCGTAATGGCTATGTCGCTGGACTCCCACATGGCCGACCGTCGTTCAAGTCCCGGACCTGGCGGCTTGCTTTCTCACTTTCTCTCTCTCTCTCTCTTTCTCTCTCTCTCTGTCTCTCTCTGGTCAAATTGAAGAAGAAAGAGAAGGAAAAAAGGAGAATAAAAGAAGAAGAAGAATGAATGAATGAATTAAATAAATGAATAATTCTTAGCCAAAAAAAAAAAAACCAAAAACCAAAGACTAAGATCTAGAGAGATGGAACAACCCTTGAACCCAGGGCCTAGCCCTCCACGCAGCTGCCCCAGTGCAAAGAGCCATAGCTCTGAAGGGGAAGGACTCACCACCCTGTCTGGACAGCAGGAGGAGAAGGAGGACCGGCCTGACTCCCGGCCACCCCATCGATCCACTCAGAGGCCCACAGCCTCAGGGGACGCTCCACACAGCCATGGAGGCCCCAGACACCCTGTCCCCGCCCAGGAACGCATTGAAGCTAAGTAAGAAAAAAGACTGATTAAAAAAAAAAAAAAGAAAAAAAGAGAGTGAAGTGTCACTTGCCGGGGAAAGTCAAAGTGAAAGAGAAACCCAGGAAGTCAGCTCAGAGGTGGCGGTCTCACCTTGGCCACAAGTCAGGCCCTGGGCCCAGGGTCTAGGGGTCTGTCCTGCTGGCCTGAGATCTGAGGTTTCAGCACTAAAAGCTGCCTAAGGCTCTGGACCTGTGGTCTGGACTCTGGCTCTCTCTCTCTCTCTCTCTCTCTCTCTCTCTCTCTTATTTATTCAGTTTTTTCAAGAATATTTTGGTACGGGGTGCATACACTTGCTGGAGACACAGAGAGACAGAGAGCGAGAAATCACCCCCTAGGGGGATAGCCATGCCTCAATCCCTTCTCCTCCATTCTCCTCTCGGGATCTTGGGCACGCACACACATGTGCCCGGTGTGAGTTTAAGCCACCGAGTCCGGGACTCGAACTGTGGTCGACTACATGGGAGTCCAGTGACATAAGTATTTCGCCATCAGCTGGTTCTGAGCTCCTTATTTTCTCAAGATATGACTTAGTCTTGCCCTGGACCCACAGGCTGGAAAATCACACCGGGCATGTGTGCGTGCGTGCCTAAAATCCAGGGAGGAGAATGGAGGAGAAGGGATTGCTGCAGGACCATTGCCCCTTGGGGGTGATTTCTCGCTTTCCCTCTCACTGCCTCTGTCTCTATCTCTTTCTGGCTAGCACACACACCCTCTGGCAAAAACCTATTTAAAAGGAAAAAAAACGGGACCAGCAGTTGGCATAATGGTTATGTCGCTGGACTCCCATGTAGTTACCCACGGTTCGAGTCCCAGACCCGGTGGCTCAAACTCACATTGGGTGTGTGTGCGTGCATGCCCAAGATCCCGAGAGAAGAATGGAGAAGAAGGGATTGCAGCGTGGCCATCCCCTCTGGGTGGTGATTTCTTGCTTTCTGTCTCTCTGTCTCTCTCTCTGTCTTTCTGGTGAGGGCTCATGCCCTATAGCAAAAACCTCTCCAAAAGAAAAAAAGATACAATTTGGTCTTTTTCCATGTTTCATTTCTCAGTCCCTAGGGAAGGAGAGCCGGGTGGGGTGGGTCTCAGTTTCCCTGGCCGTCTCTCTCCCCTCTGTCAGGGAAGAAGCCCTGAGTACTCTCTGGGTGACCTGGAAACTTGACACGAACCGAGAGAAGCCGAACAGGAAAGTCCTGATGGCGTGTGATTCCATCCGTCTGAAATGCCCCACTTAGGCAGTGCACCCACAGAGGCAGCTCGGTGGTTGCTGGGGACTGGGGGAAGGGGTGGAGACCGGGTGCTGATGCATGTGGGTTTTCCTTTTGGGGTGATGAGTACATTCTAGAAGTGTATAAAGGTGGTAATTGTACAACTTTTTTTTTTTTTTTAAGAAAGATTTTCGCTCTGGGTATGTGTGTTTGCTGGAGAGACAGAGAGAGAGACAGAGAGACAGAAAGTGAGAAATCAACCCCCCAGGGGGGATGGCCATGCCGCAATCCCTTCTCCTCCATTCTTCTCTCGGGATTTTGGGCACGCATGCACACACGTGTGCCTGGTGTGTTTCAAACCGCTGGGTCTGGGACTCGAACCTCAGTTGACTCCATCGGAGTCCTGTGCCGTAAGTATTACGCCATCTGTCCACCTGCTAGTCCCAGGTTCTCTGATTTTTACCCAAAGAAAAATTCTTAGGAGGCCGGCAGGTGGCGTAGTAGTTAAAGGCGCTGGACTCCCACATGGCCGACTGTGGTTCAAGTCCCAGACCTGGCAGCTTGCTTTCTCACTTTCTCTCTCTCTCTGTCCCTCTCTTGTCCAATTAAAATAAATAAAGTTAAATAAAATAATTATTAAAAAAAAAAAATTCTTGTGACTCCAGGCACTTGAGGGAGAGTGGGGGAGGAGAGAGAAGCGAGGGTCTACCCTGCAGAAAGGAATCCGGAGAAACTGAGGCCTGGGTGGGCAAAGGTCGGTTCATGTAGTTCAGCCTTTGGGGAGGAGGAAGCCCCGCCCTCCAGCAGCTGGGCTGGGCAGGACCCGCCTCCCAGCAGGGCATGAGGTCACCATCTAGGGAGAAAGAAGCCCTTGTCCCCTGGGATGGCACCGTGGGGACGGGGACCCATGACCCCACACAGAAGAGCCTTCATGGGCCGCAGGGCCCAGGCCAGGGTGAGGGGAGTGCTATGGGCTGGGGATCTGATGTGTGAGGCCCGCAGGGGGAGGAGCAGAGACAGAGAGACAGAGACAGAGAGATGAGAGACAGAGATTGAGCCAAACACACAGAGAAGGGAGATTGCTAGAGATAGGAACAGATTCAGGGACCCCCTCTTTTTCTCTTATTATGTTTTCTTTCATGAAAGAGAAAAAAGAGAGCCCAGCAGGTGGCGTGGAAGTTAAGGTGGCTGGATCCCACTGCTTGGCTCAAGTCCTGGACCCGTATGGTTTATAAAACACACAGGGTTGGGACCAGCAGTTGGCATAATGGCTATGTCACTGGACTCCCATGTAATTGACCACGGTTCGAGTCCTGGACCCTGTAGCTTAAATTCACGCTGGGTGTATGCGCGTGCGTGCCCAAGATCCATAGAGGAGAATGGAGGAGAAGGGATTGTGGTGTGGCCATCCCTCCTGGGGTGGGTGATTTCTCGCTTTCTGTCTCTGTATCTCTCGGTCTCTCCAGCAAGCACACACACTTTGTTTCTTTTTTTGAGAGATTTTTGCTATAGAGCGCGTGTGCTCTCCAGACAGAGAGAGACAGAGAGACAGAAAGCGAGAAATCACCCACCCCAGGAGGGATGGCCACACCACAATCCCTTCTCCTCCATTCTCCTCTCAGGATCTTGGGCACGCACGCACATGCGCCCAGCGTGAGTTTTTTTAAGCCACCAGGTCCGGGACACGAACCGCGGTCGACTACATGGGAGTCCAGCGACATAGCCATGACGCTAACTGCTGGTTCCCAATAATAAAGTTTTTAAAAAGAAATAAAGGGACCAGCAGGTGACATGGTGGTTAAGGCGCCGGACGCTCCGATGTGGCTCACCACGGTTCAAGTCCTAAACCTGGTGGTTTGGTTTCTCACTTTCCCTCTCTCTCTCTCTTTCTCACTCTCTCTCTCTGGTCAAATCAAAATAAATGAATGAATAAATAAAATTAAATTAAAAAAAAAAAGAAAGTAAAATTAAACAATTCTTAGGGGAAAAAAAGGAAAGAAATTAAAATGAAGGCTTGGCAGTGGCTGCAGTCTGGAAGACACACTTTGGGGAACCCTGAGATGAACACGGAGGGTCCGGGGCTCCGTGGAGAGAGACAAACTGGTGAAGGGAACAGAGGCTCTCGCAGGAGGCAGAAGGGCTTGCTATTCTGCAAGGGCACTAGGGAGCCATGGCAGGTGTGTGATCCCAGCCACATGCGAGGTAGTATTTCTCCACTTACTGAGGTCACAGCCTGAGGATCAGCCTGTTTGCGGAGGCCGTCTATCTCCATATGTCCCCCTCCCTGGGCCTCCCTGCTTTCTGCTCCAGGAAACCCCGTGGATTCCCCATGGGCCCCGCCCAGCTGCCCCAGAGGCTGCGATGCGCCGCTGCAGCGCTGGGCTGGGCTGCGCTGGGCTGGGCTGGGCTGGGCTGTCCCACTTTCGCTGGGGGAGGGGTGGCAGGAAGAATCGCTGACAGAGGCCGGAAATCCCGATGAGAATAACCACAGAACTTCCCCACCCTCCTCGGCCTCTGTTTTCTTGGGGAGAGTGCCCTTCAGTGTGATGAGGCCGGAGCCACTAGGCCTAGAGAGATCCTGATGCTTCTGTGGGGCATTTAAAGAGGGTGTTGATGTGTGAGTAGGAGTTCGAAAGGAAAAAAATCTAATCATTTCTTTAGATGGAGGAGAGCCCCATCGGTACATGTAAATATCTTTGATCGTTCAGTCAGGATTTTCTTTCTTTTCTTCTCTTTAATTTGCATGTGCTTGTCTGAGAGACAGACAGAGGGAGACAGAGAGAGGGAAAGTGAGAAGTCACCCCCCAGGGGGGGATGGCCACTCCGCAATCCCTTCTCCTCCGTTCTCCTCTTGGGATCTTGGACACGCTCGCACACGCGCCCGGAGTGAGTTTAAGCCACCAGGTCCAGGACTTGAACTGTGGTCGACTACGTGGGAGTCCAACGACATAGCCATTACGCTAACTGCGGGTCCCTTGGAGTCCAGCGTCCTTAACCACCACGACACCTGCCGGCCCCACTTCTCTTCCATTCTCTTCTGGGGATTTTGGGCATGCATGCACACACACCTGGCATGAATATTGGGACTCGAACCATGGTCCACCACATCAGAGCTCAGTGCCTTAACCACTACGCCACCTGCTGGTCCCAATAAAAAATAATTTAAAAAATTTTTTTCGGAACCAGCAGTTGGCATAAGGGCTGTGTCGCTGGACTCCCACGTAGTCGACTGCGGTTCGCGTCTCGGACCCCGTGGCTTAAAAACCACGCCG